AATGCAGAATAACTAAGGGTGTTTTATCATGGAAACATATTTGAAGAGTTGTTTGACTCAATGCAGTCTCCAACCAAAATATATCTCAATGATATATCTATCGATCCAAAATTTTAGGGTTTTATAATCAAAACCATGACAATGATCTAAATTTTAAATTTACTTTTTAAAATAGTATAAATGTTATTTTTTTAGTTCCTTTTTCCACCGTTCTAAAAGATTTAAATGTTATTTTTCTAGATTCTTTTTCCACCATCTGTTTTACCTTTTCGTGGATACCTTTTTTTAACATCCATCTCAGAGATGAATGATTGAGAGACAACGGACTGCATAGTGATAGGTGAGTCGGCCTACTCACAAAAAACCGTGTACAAGGCCTTTTTTTAAGGTGAAACTATTGAAATGACCCTCATTATTCCTTATTCTGAATTCTGAACAAGCATAATTTGGGTATTTTTAAAATAATTTTTTGAAGAGGTATATGAATGAAATAATAAAGATAAAATATACTATCAAATCGTAGTGGAGATCATTTAACCCCTTTAATAATACTTTAAGGGGTATTTTTCCTCTTAGTATATAATTCCTTCTTAGTTTATAATTTTCCTAATCTCTGGCGAATTCCACGCATTCCAAACGTGATTTGAATTTTTTAAAATAAATTAGAATGTTTTTTCTTTCTAATAACATAGTTAAGGGGTACATTGAAGAGATCATATCCGATAGAATCACTTTTATATGAAAAGCACATATAAGTTATGGGACTGTCATGTGACAAAAATGTGCAAGAGCACCTTTATTAGGAGTACAAACTTGTAGGCGCATTAAAAAAAAGAAAGGTTTCTATGCTTCTTCTATGTAGTAGAAGTTCTATCCTCCTTTTATTATCCAGCCGTTCAAATTTGATCATCCAGTCATTCATCGTTTGATCTAAGATCCGACATCTCAAAGTATTGTATTTTTAGGTTTTTTTATACAAATTGTATGAATATGAAATTTGATACGTGTCATCTTTTCATTGGGGTGCATCCATAAAAAAAAATATTAAAAATAAATTTGTGATAAAATATAATGACCAAAATACCCTTTGAAACTTTCAGGGGTATTTTGATCATTTTATTTTATAGAAAATATTTTTTATATTTTTCGATAGTGCGAGTTTAATAGAGGAATGTATGTTTGGTGTCAAATAATTTATAAAAAAAAAATTAAAAATAAAATAATGTAGAGACGTGACATTTTGATGAGAACAATCTTAACCCTCCATTCAGAATGGACAAATGGATAAGAGCAAAGATAGAACTTCTATGCCGTAGAAAAAACATAAAAAGCATGCCCTTAAAAAATATTACTTACGATCGCATCTATGCAAAAGTCGTTTCGTTGTAATCATGCTGAAAAAGCTAAAAAATTGCAAAAACTTGTGGTATTATATAAAGAGCACTTTTTTTGAATCACATGGACCAACAAGACCATCAAAAAAATATGAAATAATAATTTTGTTGAAGCACATACACGAGTGAGTCCATCAAGGGTGCGTCCAATAACTTTTTTAGCAGTTTCTCTAGTATTCTCCCAGCTAACTTTACTGAATTCTAAGAAGCAGGTGAAAATTGATAGCTTGAAAGTTGGGGACTTTGTCTAATAAATTGTGGTCCTAATAATTTTTACATGCCACATTGTAAAAGCTCTTTTATTTATATATATATATATATGATAATATTATATATTATGTTACAATATATAATACAATAGTCAGATTACTATATTTGTTGACGTGTAACTTTAAACGTGTGATTCTGAGTGGAACTCCCGTTTTACTTACAGATGTGAGTTTAATAAATGTTAATTTCAATTTTAGCTTTCTAGGAATGAATATGTATTAAGGAAAGGATAGGTTGAATTTTATGAGACACTATAGAATTTTGTATTAACTACGAAAAAGCATTTGTGCTTTTGCATCGGCATTTTTATTTGCAAATTCCGCGTGCAATTCAGTGTTCGACACCCAAGCCGGGTCGAATCGGAATTGGCTGGGTAACCCGGAACCGGCCTTTGGTCGGTCCGGATTTAGTCACTTTTTTAACGTTAAGTACCAACATGTTGAAAACATTTAAAAAGACTTATTAAAAAATTCAAAAAAGTAAGAAAATTATTTTGTAATGTGCTTTTCTAATGTTTTTCATCATTTTGAAAAAAAATTGAAAAAACTGTTTGGGGGCATGAATACTTATTTTTACATTTTCTCTTCTTTCAGATTATTTCTAAACTGCTCCTAAATTATTTAAAAATATCCTTATTCACAAATTGTTTTTTTAAAATCCACTTTTCACTACTTTTTTTACTTTAGGACATGGTTTCTATGCAACCAGCGTGCATATTGTAGAAAGCTTGGTAATAAATATTTTTTTAAAATATAATTTAATCCTAATTTTTAGAAAAATTATAATCTTTAACATGGAGTTCGTGAATATGATAAAAAAAAATTGAAAGCTAGAAATGATAATTATATTAAAAAACATTTGGACCATTAGTTAAACTTCTTTTTAGATGGACCACCAATTTGCATCCATTTTTAAGATGAATGCTTTATACCTTTGGATTGCATATTGTAGAAATGCAATCTAGCCTGCATGAAACAATTTTCCTTTACTTTATTTAGCGGTGTTTTGTTTAAGTTTACTCTGCACATAATTTTTATATTAAATGGATTTGTTTTATATTGTTTAGTAATTTTTGATGAGGCCAAGACCTGCCTGGGTTTTTGAGTTACTTGAAACCAATGTTAAAAAAAAATGTCGACCTGAACCGAATCAAGCGATCCGGATCAGATATTGGCTGGGCCACTCTGGATCCAGTCATAAAACGGGATCCAGCTGTGTCTGCACATGAAATCGGTATTATGGCATCATCAAACGACTTTGGAGGGTATTTTTATAATTTTCTTTAAAAATTGTGGCAATTATGACATTGTACGAGTATGGCCACATGCAGACTGCCTCATGCTTCATCACGAGATGAAATACACTACTGAGGAGCCTTTTATTCACGTTAAACTTCTTCTATTTTTTTGATGTGGAATTTGAGCATGGTACTTATTATGAATAAAAAGCAATACAGTATAGGCTTGAAAAGGTAATACAATACAACCCTTCTATTTTTATATTAAATGGACTTGTTTTATAGTGTTTAGTAATTTTTGGCGAGGCTAAGACTTGCTTGGTTTTTCTGAGTTACTCGAGTGTTAAAAAAAACGTCGATCTGATCCAAACCTAGGCAATCCGGACCGGATATCGGCTGGACCGTTCTGGATCCAACCATAAAATGGGATCCGGCCATATTTGCACAGGAAATCAGTATTATGATATCATCAAACGACTTGGGAGGACATTTTTGTAATTTTCTTTAAAAATTTGGGCAATTATGACATTGTACGAGTATGGCCAGTGCACACTGCCTCATGCTTCATCACGAGATGAAATACAGTAATAAGGAGCCTTTTATTCACGTAAACTTCTTCTAATTTTTTCGATGTGGGATTTGAGCATGGTACTTATTGTGAATAAAAAGTAACACAGTATAGGCTTGAAAGGGTAATACAATACATCCCTTTATTATAAAAGGTAATATAATAAGTGGGGTTGTGGCATAGTCGGTTAACACATTCGTCTTACACACTAAAGGTCTCTAGTTTGAACTTGGGCACATTTGAGCTGCGATTATCATAAGCTTAAATTAGACACTAAAGGTCCCTAGTTTGAACTTGGGCACATTTGAGTTGCGATTATCGTAAGCTTAAATTAGACACTAAAGGTCCCTAGTTTGAACTTGGGCATATTTGAGCTGCGATTTTCGTAAGCTTAAATTAGATATGTAAAGGAAATTAGATATGTAAAGGCAATACAAAGTTTGGCCGATGCGCCAAGGAGATGAGATAAGGAGTCGTAATCTTAGTAGGTCACCTAGACCTGATGCGAGCACAACTCTTATGGCTTATAAAGGTATCTCTCGTACATGCATAAGCTGAACCTTAAAAGGTGATTCGCTTTCTCAAAAAAACTATCATATATGCGTGTCTTGTGATAATACTTAGGAGAGACTTTGGCCGCCGTATCTGAGGGCCACCATCACGCACAGCCGGGCATACTCCTACTTCATCAAGGGATGACCTAGTAGAACCCTCATCAGATACTTTTCTATACCCACGTAACATAGATTTATTCCCTGGCCTAATTCGTAAAGCTAAATTCGGTGTCTAGAAATGTTATTTGTTAATATAGTTTATAAGAGGCCACACTCTCATGAAATTCATGATCTATTATATCAAAATGTTTTATTACAAGTACTCCTAAATCGACACTCCAAAAAAAAAAAGAAAAAAGAAGAAAGAAGAAGAAGAAGACGCATGAACCCACAACGAGAGAGAGAGAGAGAGAGAGGAGTAACTCGGTACAGTCATGAATGGAGATGAGTGAGAGAGAGACTCGGTACGGTAATAACTATGCATTCATTGTTCCAAACAAAATACAAAGAAACGTAAACAACTCACGCCACTGAAAGAAAGAAAGAAAAGCACCATGAATTGTACAAGAGAGAGAGGAGAGGAAAAAGACAGAATCCAAGTCCCCAAATGCACATTTTTCTTCTGCTCTATCCAATCCCTCAACAAAATCTTCACCTACTATTCCCGCAAGCTCCCATTGAATAAAAAAACATAGAGAGAGATCCAAGAATTCAGAGCCCATTACTCACACAGAGAGTGGACTCAGAACCCATCACCCCTCAAGAGAGAGTCGAAGAGGACCAAGAACTCAAAGCCCATCACCCCTCAAGAGAGAGAGAGAAAGTGGAAGAGAACCAAGAACTCAGAGCCCATCACCCCTCAAGAGAGCGAGAGACCAAGAACTCAGAATAGAGAGAGAAAGAGAGAGGCCTGAGAATTAGAGCCCATCAGCCATGAGAGAGATTAGAGAGAAAGCGGGGGAGGTGCGACCTCAGAATCAGAGCCCTTCATCCACGATCTCCCTCTCGGCCACGTGTCCCTCAGGCGCTATCCGAGCCGTCCGTTCGACCTCAGGGAACAACACATCCTCGTCCGAGACCGATCCCACCTCATGGAACAAACCATGGTCAAACGCGTTCGAGACCACCCAATCCGGTACTCCAACACGTGGAAATGGCACAAAGATACTGTGCACCACAATCCTCCAATTGAGCACCGCGTCGGGCCCCTTCACTGGAACGTAGTTGATCCTCAGCGAATCCACACCTAAGCCAGGGTTTGTGACCACGAGGTCTTGGCCTTGAATCAGGGTCCGTAGGCTAGAGCCCATATTCATCTGGGCTAAGTCCGATCCCTTCAAATAACGGTTGGGCACGATATGGAACCTCACGTTATTAACGTAGGAGTGCCCTCCACTGAAAATAGAGGCGTCGTCGAGGGCAAATATGGTCATATTTCGAAGTCCCACGAGCTCAGGGTACTTGGCTCTCAGGGCCAAGGCCACGATGCTGAAGCCCGAGGCTCGAAGCCTGAGCATCGCGTCTCTGATAGATAAACGCATCGATATCGCCGGAAAAGTTTTCGGACCTCTGGCTGGGGTCATATATCTGGTGTCCGTGGCGTTTTCCGGGGTGAGGGTCATTGTGGAGGTGGAGTTTTCCGTCCATGAGGGGCTTTTTGCCGGCGAGAAACAGGACTGAGGAGGGAGAGGGAAAACGAAGCCATCCAAGCCATGGATCACCAGGAGACCGTCGTTGAAGAGATCAGGACGTGTGATTTGGACGCCATCGATCAAGATCTTGGCCGTGTTCTGAGTCGAGTTTGTGGAGGTTACAGTTATACAGCGATCGGAGCTCCTGGTTTGGATCTTGGTGCCATGTGCGAGCTTAGAGAGATGGTGGTAAGTGAAAAAACCAGGGATTATGCGTTCTTTGAGGATTTGAAGGCGAGAGCAATGGGAGCAAGAACGAATGGCCGTGTCATTAATGGCGAAGACAGTTGCAGGGCCAGCCCAAGAAGAGGAAAAGGGGTCGTACAAGAAGGGGACGGCCATGGCCAGCTCTTCGTACCCAAAATTTGATAGGATTGGGGCCAATGAGGTGTGGGTTTCAGGGTAATAGCTCAATGGTAGGTAGGTGGTGGGGTTGAATTCTTGAGTGGGTGAGGGGGCGAGAAAGAAGGAGAGGGTTTCTTGGGCATTGCACAGGAGGAAAATGGCGAAGCAGAGGAGAGCGAGTTGAAGGCAATTCCCCATTTTTGTCATGAGATGAGAGAGAGAGAGAGATGGTTTCCTGAGGGCTTCAAGAAAACAATGGACGGAGGAATACAGAGAGAGAGTGAATAAGAGTGAACAGTATGTTTTGCAGAAAAAGAGAAAGACTAAGTAAGAGACAGAGAGGTAGCATACTAGAAATGAAGGAGAAGAAATGGAACGAACACATGAGTTGCAGAGAAAGTAGAGAGAGAAAGAGAATGGAGCTAAGTGACATGAGAAGCTAAGGGCGGCGAGAGGGGTTTTAAAAGTTTCCTACGTATTCTGTTACAGTATGGACCGTGCTTTCTTTGGGTTTGTTAAGACTTCGGCATTTGGTGACGTAAACCGCCCGCTTCGTTTATTGAAAGAGTCCAGATTATATCTCAAATGCCAAAACTACCCATGCCTAAGTAATCACTATCGCACTTTAGTCCCCATGCCTGCAACCCGCTTCTCATAAATTGAGATGCTTTACCCTTGAATTCGATTAATTATAATATTCTGAAAAGAAATTTATAGAAAGGTCGAGTTTTATTTTAAAATTAAAAACTACTTTCATATATTCTATATCTTTGAATTTTAGGTCCTACTTTTTGGAAGTATATATATATATATATATATATATTGCTATAAATCAGATTAAGCTTCGTACAGTGTGTTGATTCATTTTTCTTTTGGTTATAAATCAGATTAAGCTCCTATACATATATTTCCTCATTTTTATTAAAAGGAAAAGTTTTTATGGAGCCCACTCTTTAAATCATCAAATTTGAGCCTTCCTCAAAAGGAGTATATTGTCCATTTACTCCCTCGGGTAGGCATCAGAATTAATTTTACATCCCTAAAATTTGGGGATATAATCTCCACAATCTATAGATTAACCTCAAATAATAATAACCAATTTCTAATCACACAATTTACGCACTAGATTGAATAGAGACCGTCCAATTTTTAAAAGGCGAGATCTAGGTGTTAGAAAACTCAAATTTCAATTTTTGTTTTTTTAGATTATTTATCTAGTAATTTTTTTGTGGTTCCCAAAATTTAAAATCGAAAAAAATCCTCTCAAATAGGTATTATGACTAAGGGAGTAAATATAAACCATACCCTTGGGGGAATGTATATACGCTCCCTAACAATATTAGGTACTATGTGCCCAGGATTCCCAGACTGAAATGAGCCCGTTGATAACTAGTTTGATTGTTGATCTATGCCTAGACTGGATTGGTCAAAAGAAAAAATTGAATTTGATCGAAAACCTATGAAGATCAATATTTCAGTGGTTTTTGTTAGTCTTATTGGTTAATTTTGACATGTTAGTGTGGTTAAAGAAAGTTGGAAATATCTTTTTAATGTGTCTTCTATTTTTAAAATTACTTATTCTACTTTTTTCTTTTTATGTTTTAAAAACTTCGTCTAATCAAATTTGACCGATTTTGACTAGACTAAATTTGTCAACAGTTCATTAGCGATGTTAATGACGATGATGCTCATTAGAATGTCATGATAAATGAAGGTTATTGCATACACTCGCTCTAATCCCTTCTCTTAAAGTCTATTCTCTATTATGGCCTGGGCGATCAAAGTTTATTCCCTTATTCTGGCTAGAGTTAGTATAAGGGTGCCGTTTGTATAGAGCCAATGCTCTAAACAATCAAAGTAAAGCTCACCTTCAAATAATGTTGAGAAATGTGGCTGCAATATTAGAAATTTTTGTGATAGCTTTAAAATATAATTTTATGTTCAAGTATAAAATTTAAAGCTTAAAAAATAGTGTAGATCCAGTAAATTTATGAAAACTTGAAAATATTGAAAATTGAAGTTGAGAAATACGTTATGTGATGCACTATTGTCAAAACTTGAAACCCATTTTTTTTCTCATGTACATGCATTTTGATATAGAGATGATCGATTTGAAGATATTTGGGTATCAAAACAATCTTTCTAGTGAGATTTTTGAGGTAGGCTCTAATTTGATTGTTTAGAGCCTCGATTCTATATAAACTTTTTCCTTAGCACGTGAAATAAAGCGTATTAGACCGAGCCTGTTTTGATATTGGCCAAAAGACTATGCTCCTTGAGGGAACACATGGTCCATTCACTTACTCTGGTAGGACTAAGAACCCTAAAATTTTAGGACCTAACCACCTTAGCAACTAACCTAAAAAAGAAACAAAAATTTTGAAAAAGTCGAGCACACTCCATATGCGTGTAAACCAAACAATGGCTTAAGATTGAAGGGAGATTGTCTAATTCTTTAAAGTGTGCGGTTTGTATCAGGATAATGCCCTAAACGATCTAAGTACATTACACCTTTATATAGTGTCGAAGAATGCCATTTCCGTACCGAAAATCTCTATGATGGATTAAAAATTTATTTTCATTTTTAAGTATAAAATTTAAAGTTTAAAAAATAGTGTAGATCGAGCAGATCTATGAACACATGAGAATCTTGAAAATTGACAATCTAGATAATACATTACAAGATGCATTATTTTTAAGACTTGAAGTCTAATTTTTTATTTTATTTTATTACATCCATATATCTCAACGTCGAGATGATCGGATTTAAGGGTTTTTTTAGCATCGAAACAACTTCTTATAGTGAATTTTTTTAGGTGCTCCTTAATTTGATTATTTAGGGCCTCAACCTTATATAAGTGTTTTCCTTCTTTAAACCGTCGTAATTAAGTTCTTAAGAATTCAAAAATTCAAATTTGGTTTGAAAATTCAAATTTGGTAATTCTAAAGTGGATTTCAAAATTTTAGGCCCAAATAGTCTTCTTTAGTTGCTCTTTTTCTTGTACAGTTTGCTGCCACAAAAATATGCTTTACACGGAGGGCACTTAATGAAGGGTCATTTTCATGACTTTATGAATGTCCTTAGGGAAAATTGTCTCATGCGGGGCTGGACCGTATTACTACATATGCAGTCCAGCTGGACCGTATTACTACATATGCAGTCCAAAATATGTAAAGCATCCATCTTAAAGATGAATGCAAGTAGGTGTTCCATCTAAAAATAATGGAAACTAACTGTCCAAATGTTTTCTTACTAAAATTATTATTTATAGTTTTTAAAATTTACTTATTTTTTAATAATCACGATCTCCATGTTAGAGATTACATGTCCTTAAAAATTCAGTAAAAAAAATCTATTTCAAAATAGATTTATTAATAGGCCTGCATTTCTACATACGCAGGCTTGGCCGCATAGAAACCGGGTTCATGTCTTACTTTGTTTATAAGAGAGCATAGTCCTCACATGACGAGAGAGAAATAAGTTATGCATCAAGCTGGGTCCAAGCCTTCTTGTCTCTACTGTCCTACAAGTACAACAACCTAAGACCATGTTCTTCCTTCCCACTGGACCACCTTTTTACCCAAACTTGTCATATATCCTATGTTTGAGTGTTGACATTTCAATAAATTTCTAGAAGTGCAGTTTGTATAGAGCCTAGGCTCTAAATAATCAAATTAGAGCCTACGTTCAAATAGTGTCGAGAAATGTGGTTGAATACTAGAAACCTTTGTGATAGCCTTAAAGTATATTTTCATCTTTATTTATAAAATTTAAAGCTTAAAAAATAGTGTAGATCGACTGAACTATGAAAACTTGAAATTCTTGAAAATTGACGGTCAAAACTGCGTTACAAAATACACTATTTCCAAAGCTTGAAATCCATTTTTTCTTATGTCCATACATCTTGATGTTGAGATGATCAATTTCAGGATATTTAAGCATCAAAACAACCTCTTCTAATGAAATTTTTGAGGTGGGGTCTAATTTGATTGTTTAGAGCATCGGCTCTATATAAACTTTTTCCTTTAATCATTCACTAACAAAGTTTTCTCCGCGGAGTTAGTTTTCTGTACCAGTGTTTGATTGCTAGGTCCCAGTTCAAGTACTCGAGCTCACCAGGGTGGTGAACCTGAGTTTCCCGAGTTGTGTGTCCCACTAGGCGATATTAAAAATATTAAAATAAAATAAAAACTCTCAAATTCATCATCTTGAGAACGTTTGGTGGGATCAGCACTGGTAAAGGAAAATGGATTGGCAGAAGGCGGTGAAGCTCAAGAATGATGGTTTAGGTGAGTTTGATTGTAGTTTTATTGCAGGGATTAGGAGTACAAAGGTGACAATTGATTATTAGGTGGTAGAAAAAAGTCTTGCCTATAGGAAACTCTTTGTCACAGGGTCGTTTTCCCCTCCTCTCAAAGATTATTTTGGTCTTTCGAAGTGGGCCCAAAGAGGATGGAATTGGTCGTATCTCCCTGACATTAAGATTATTTGTGAGAATAAAATAGTCTTTAAGCTCAGGTTAGCAGAAGATGTATGGAAGGCACTTTCGAATAGATTTTGCAGGGTGCGTGGGAGTCTACTGGCATTGGAATCTTGAAAACCCTCAGATCATGCATCGTTGGTTCAGAAGAAGCCTATCTGGATTAAACTTTTGGGATTGCCTATTCATGTATGGAATCTTAATGTTGTCAAGCATGTGGTCAATTGTTTTGGAGATTATTATGACTTGGATTGGGATTCCTTCCTTAGCCCAATTTGCAATTTTGTGCGGGTGAGAATTTGGGAAACATTGTGTGTGGAAATTCCTCAGAAAGTCTGTTTCAAGGTAGTAGATGATTATTTTTCAATTGTGATCTCACAAGACGATGGTAAGCCCATAGGGATGAAGAATTCAGCTTCCCTTGCTGTGAATGAATTAGTAGCGGAAAAGGTTGCCGATTTCGGTGATCAGAGAGATCGAAAAATGCTGATCCGTCAACGCAAGAGGAATTTCGGGTGTTCCAAAATTCAAAATTCAAATAAGAGGAAGTTACCGAAAATTGTTCAAAGGTGGATCCCTATTGGTAGGTTCCCAGATTCCACGGCAGGTTTTTCGATGGAAAATAGGACGGTTACATACGACTGCTTTCTGGTATCTTTAAAGAATCCCCCGGTGAAGGATTATGACTCTCTCTATGGTACGGCGGCCCCACCATCGAAAGACACAAGCATCATTCATTTTTTCTATGAGAAGTCAGTGGAGTCAAATATCGATATAGATGGGAGGAGGGTTGTCACAGAATTTTCAGGCTTTTCGAATAAATCTTACCTTTTCAAGGAAGCAAAGGATAGATGGTTGATCTCAAGTCTATGAAAAGAGATAGAAGATAAAAAAAGGTTTTTGAGTGTTGTAGAAGTGTTGGTATCCTGGTTTGTTTGACGTCTCAAAGGTTTGTGAAGTGGTTACATCGAAGGAACTATTCGTGGCTTGTGTTATTCAGCCTTTGCTCGCTGAAGATGCATCCCCTACCCTATCGTGCATCCATCACTAAGAATGCAAAGAAAACCAGGGTGAGATTTGATCCTTTGCTGATTGAACCCATGGATGTTATTCTGGTGGAAGACGAAGAGGTACGAGAGGTTGAGGTGCTGGAAGATACGACTTATCCTCAAAACAACGATATGGCCTTGACGGTTATGGAGGCTTCGCCATTGCAAATCGTGCCGCAAGAGGAGTATGGGCATCCTTCACAGGGACCTCCGGATGGGTTGAGGTTGTTGCAAGAAAATGTTTCAAGGTTTTCGCATGTACTTCAGAATGGTTTGATTGTGGAGGATGGCTCGGTAATCGCAAAACTACTGGATGTTATGGGTCTCAATGAAGTTTCGTTACAAGTGGTGCTTGAGGAGATTAAGGCCAGCAGGAAAAAGAGGAGAGAAAATGGTGAGGTAGCGGCTATGGAAGGAAAATCCAAATTAATGGAGATGAAAGTGCAGAACGTAAAGACCTCGGCTAGGAAGTCTGATGCATATAAGAATACGAAAAAGGTTGAAGTGGGAATGAGATCTTTTGTTCGATTGGAGGCAAAAGGAGTAACGGGTAGCACTTTTCATGAGTCGGAACTAGTGGAGATTGATTCTGCTATTTCGAGCGATTTTACTAAAGAGGATGATGAGCTGAATGAGTCCCTGATGTTGGAGGAGTAGTTTTTTGGTGTAGGCTATAGTGGACCAGGTGCCTCTTCTTCTAACCCCCTTGATTAATGAACTGTTTATCTTGGAATGTTAAGGGTCTAGGTGACCTACGCATGAAAAGAGATGTTTTATTTATGGTATCTAAGTTTATACATGTTCTTTTACTTTTACAAGAAACTAAATTGCCTAGGCCCACTGTGTCGGGGGCCAGAGAAATTTGGGGTCCAGGTGCAGTCGCTTTTTGTGGGAATGATGCAATGGGTGCATCAAGGGGTATATGGGTTTTGTGGGACTCTTTGGTTCTAAAGAATTTTGAAGTTATTATTAGAAGTAATTGTGTATTTCTGGGCTTTCATGGTCCTAGACCAAGTTTCTCATGGGGGATTTTGAATGTTTATGGACCGAATGACTCTATTTTGAAAGAAGGTTTTATTGATGAACTAGAATCTATTATTCATTCATTTAATTTTCCTCTGTTGAGTGGGGGTGATTTTAAATTAATACGATGGTCGGATGAATGTCTTGCAACCACTCCGATTAATTCTTTAATGAAACTTTTAAATGCTTTCATCGAGAGAAACTCACTAATAGATCTTCCAATTATTGGATCAAAGTTACATGGTCTAATAATAGTTTGATCAGGCCAGTGATATCAAAGCTAAATCGTTTTCTTGTTTCTATGGAGTGGTTAGAAGAATTTCCTTTAACAGTGGTTAAAACAGTGCCAAGACTTAGTTCAGACCACCAACCCATATTTTTAAGTACTAGTGTTGTGCATGGGTGCTCAAAACCTTTTCGCTTGAATTTGGAGTGGTTGGAAATAGATGGGGTTTCTGACCTCATTAAAACAGCATGGATCAACTATGTGGTTGAAGGTATAGTCGATTTCCAAATGCATAAGAAACTACTTAACATAAAACACAAACTGATAGATTGGAAGAAAAAAAACAATTTTGATATTAAAAGGAAAATGGAGGAGATTTTACACGATATTGAAGTTTTGGATCAGGATATTCACGAAAAAAGCACTGTTACATAGGAGTTCTTATTGCAAAGAAGTGTGAAACTCAAAGAGCTTCATGATATGAGGAGAGCTGAGGAAATTTATTGGAAGCAACGATCTAGATCTAAATGGCTCAAGGGGGGTGATCTCAACACCAAATACTTTCATGCCATTGCTAATGCCAGAAGAAGGAGCAATAACATTTTCGGCTTGAATTTTCCAGGGATTGATGTTGAGAATGATCAGGCTATGAAACTGGTTATGATAGGCTATTTTAAAAAGTTGTTTACAAAGGAAGAGAAATTTACTCCAAAGATTGACATAATTCCTTTTAAGGTGCTACCCCTAAATTTGCAAAACCAGGTGGAGAAACAAGTCACTACGGAAGAAGTTAAAAAAGCAATGTTTGCGTTACTAGGGAATAAAGTGCTAGGGCCGGATGGTTTTCCCTTGGCTTTCTTTCAGAAATTTTGGGAGTTACTTAAAGGGGAAATTTTTGGGATTGTGAGGCTTTATAGTAATGGGGCATTTGTTTCGTAGTGTGAACTCTACCTTCTTGGCTTTGATCCCGAAAAGAGCAGTCATTGCTGAAATTGCAGATGTTAGACCAGTCAGTTTACTTACCAACCTATATAAAATCATTGCTAAAGTGCTAGCTGAAAGGCTGAAGGCAGTATTGCCTCTCTTGATTTCTAGTTCACAATTGGCATTTATTAAAAACTAACAAATGATAGATAATGTGTTGCTTGCACATGAGTATATTCACTCTAGAGTAGTGGAGGAAAAGACAGGAGTTTTGATAAAACTAGATATGGAGAAGGCATATGATAAAGTGGAATGAGAATGGTGCTATTAGAAATTATGAAGATGATGAGTTTTGGAATAAGACGGCTAAGATGGATCTGGGGATGTCTTTTTTCTGCTCACTTCTCGATTCTTTTCAAATGTAACCCCATTGGTTTCTTCCAAGCTTCAAGGGGTTTACGCCAATGTGATCCATTGTCCCCATTTTTATTTGCTATTTATGCTGAGTGTTTTAGTTTGATGCTGACTAATGTGGAAAATGATGGACTTTTTTCGGGGTTTAAGATTGCAAGCTCCTCAATAATTATTTCTCACTTGCAATAGACGACACCCTAATTTTTTGTGATGCAAATATCCCGCAAGTTAAATGTATTGCAAGATTCCTTGAATGTTGTGAGGTAACTATGGCCTTTAAAGTGAATTTTGACAAATCTTCTATGATTGGTATTAATTGTGATCATTCTTTTGTGGAAGTTCTAGCTAATGCTATGGGATGTAAAGTGGGTTCTTTTCATGCGACTTATCTTGGTATACTTATCTCAGATTCACGACTATCCATTTCAGTTTGGGACAGGATTTTGGAAAAAGTACAATTGAAACTCGATTCATGGAAACCTAAATACTTGTCATTAGGGGAAAGGGTAACTCTATTGCGTGCTTGCTTGGCAAATTTACCGGTGTACCAAATGTCGTTAAATCATATCTCAAATTCAGTTGCAAAGAAGATTGAAAAAATGATGAGGGATTTTCTTTGGGGTTCATATGGAGAGAATAGGAAATATCATTTGGTTAGATGAGATAGAATTTTTACACCAAAGAAATAAGGGGGCTTAGGGATCACGAAAATTAGGACTTTTAATCAAGCATTATTATGTAAATAGTGGTGGCGCATTATACATCTTAAGGAATAGTTGTGGTATCAGGTCTTACTTGCAAAATATGGCTTAGATAAGTCACTTTTGTGGCTTGGTGGTGGAAGGTGTAAGAAGCTTTCACCTTTGTGGAAAAACATGTTAAGTTGTAGACCGATGATATCAGGGTATTTTCGGTGGATTGTTGGTAGTGAAAATATGGTATCCTATTGACATCATAAATGGTTGGGTGAGTATACACTAAAGGCAAGGTTCCTTATTCTATTTAAACTGGTGCCAAGGCCTAATTTGCCTGTTAATGAGGCTATAGAGAGAAGGGGTAATAATGTTTGCTGGGACATACATTTAACCCATAGCCGTTTGAATATTTCACTTTTGGCGCAATGGCGTCAGTTGATGGAGATACTGCATAAAGTTTATATTTCACAAAGCGCGGATGATGAACTCATTTGGGAAATTGAAAAGGATGGAGTGTTTTCGGTGAAATCATGTTACAATTTATTCTTTCATTATAGATGGAGATGGTCATGTACAAATATTGTGGAAATTTGGAAATTGTCGATTCTACATAAAATACAAATCTTTATTTGGCTGGCTGCACAGGACAAAATCCTAACTGTTGACAATCTGATTAAAAAGGGGAAGATATTGCTTAAAGTGTGCCTTCTATGCAAGAACGATGGAGAGACTGGACTACATTTACTGATCCAGTATTCATTCACTACGAGATTATGGTACTGGCTTTTTGAGATGGTTGGAGTTCAAATGCCACTCCCTCAGAGGATTGATGATTTGGTAACTTCTTTGAAAGCACCTTTTCTTCCTAAGATAGGTCGTGTTGTCTGGAAGATTACAGTTGTGACAATTCTTTGGGAGATAAGAAAAGAAATGAATAAGAGAACATTTGAAGGGGTGGTTTACTCTTTTGATCGAATTCTTCACATTTGCAAATGGTCCATCTGGTCTTGGTTGTCAGTGAAGAGAGAAGGGTGGGGAATATCCAAGGTGGATGTAATGGCTAATTTACAAAATTTGTTTTTCCTCGGCTCTGTAAAATCAAGGCGTAGGAGTATTTGGATTGCTCCATTTCAAGGAAGCCTTAAGCTTATTTTTGACAGAAGCTCTTTGGGCAATCCGGGGCTAACAGGAATAGGTGGTCTTTTGCGAGATTGCTTTGGTAATGTTATATTCTCATATGTCGGCCCAATTGGTTCTGCAACAGCTAATTTTATAAAATTAAGTGCCTTGTTGTGTGGTCTCAAAATTTTCAGCAGTAAGAATACGGGGATTAGTTGTACGATCGAAGGTGATTCTTTGAATGTAATCAAATGGTGCAAGAAAGAGTAGAGGGTCCCTTGGGAACTTCGAGCTTGTGGCTAGAAGTGATGGATTTGGTTGACAATGTAATGATGTCATTTGCTCATGTTTACTAGGAGGCTAACGCTATTGTCAATACCATTTGCTAAAGGGGGAATTTCTATTCATAGCCTTTTAATTTCTGATGATGTAATCTCTTTTCCGTAAATTATAATAAAATTATTGATCTTGGTCAATATGTATATATATATATATATATATATATATATATAATTAAAAAATTAAAATAAATTCAATAAAAAAATAATAATTATTTTTCACATTTTTTTATGTTTTTTATCATTTTTGCAAAGAGTGGAAAAGTGTTTTGGTCATGAATAATTATTTTTACTTTTTTACCATATTTTTTGGATTATTTCAAAGAGGCACCCGGTCAGGAATGGATTTTTCAAAAATCTATTTTCTTACTACTTTTTTAACATCATTAAATGTGTTTTGCTTAATCTTACTTTAAACATATATTCCTTATTTTTTGGATTTTTTAAAAAATTTAAACATATTTTGCTGCTACAATACTCAATACTACTCGGGACGAGTACTCAGGTCGGGCATGGCCCGGTACTCAGCCCGAGTACTGGTTTCGAATACTCCTTGCCACTGAATCTCTCACCTCACTGAGGATTTGGGTTTTGATCATAGATGATGTATACCCCTGCAACTGTTTATAGCGTTCAACGGTATTAGTACTACCATGATGGTATGTGATGGTTCAGAAAAAGAAGGTTGAATTGTTATGGTGCAAGTGGTGCCGTCAGAACAATATCGTGATGGGAATGTATAACAACTCGAGGCGTGGGCGCTGGACCATCACGATTCTTTTCAATAAAAAAAAACAGGTTTATATAAGTTCGAGGCAAAAACAATCATGTTAGGGTGCACTTCAAAAATTTCATTAGAAGAGGTTGTTTTAATGCTTAAATATTGTCAAATTGATCTTCTCGACATCAAGATACGTGGACATGAGGAAAAAATAGATTTCACTTTTTGGATATAGTGCATCTTGTAATGTATTTTTGGTCAGTCAAACTTTAGGATTTTCAAGTTTCTATAGATCTGCTTGATCTGCACTATTTTTTAAGCTTGAAATTTTATAGTTAGAAATGAAAATGTATTTTAAGGTTATCACAAATATTTTCAATATTGAAACCTCATTTCTCGAGACTATTTGAAGGTGCGCTTTATTTTTATTGTTTAGAGCCTAGGCTCTAAACAAACCACACCCTTTAAAAAATTGAGGTATTTCCCACATTTGTTACATAAAGAGAATATTTCTAATAATTATTCTATTTTTAATATGTTTCTATAAATTTGATTGAGCTCAAATTTTGTGTGTCCATCTTCTCATCATTATGCACCTATCAAAGTTTTCTCTCTTGTTATTTTTTATTTTTATAAATTTTGTTATTATATGTCACAAAAATAATTTATCTAAAGAAAATATAATTAAATTGTCAAACAACCTAAAACATTACTGAGGTCACAACCAACAATTTTAACAACAAAGTGGCTATGTTTAAAAGTCATTTCATTCAACTGCCTCATTAAATTTTTTGCTAAAAATAACCAAATTATCCTTGTTTTAGATTTATAACCCCTTGAAGAGGAATAGGCATTTTGATAATTTAACCTATATTAGTCACTTGAGCCAAATCAAATAAATACCCATATTATTCAATTTTTCCGACTCTGAAACCTGGAAACATGTTTTCTATCAGTTAAATTAACAACTATTCTTTTAACAAAATAGTTAATAGTTAAGAAAGGTACTAAGGTGAAATAATTTTAAAAATAACCATTTATTGATAAATCAGATTATTAACAACTTTCATTTTTTTGAAAATGATTTTCATCATTTTATTGTTATTTTTTCTAGGGTGGTAGTAGCAGTGTTATCAAATTTGCTTCACTTCGGCCTAAGAGGCCGAAAGCTTCAGATTTTAGACATAAACTGAAGCAAATCGAAGGATGGTGCTGCCACTTGGATCAAATTTGAGGTGCTTCGGGCTGCTTCGATCAGATTCGGGTCTACTTCGGGTTTGTTTCAGCCAACAAAGAAATAGCTATAAAAAAAGTATTTTTTATTTTTTTATTTTTATTATTTGTATATATTATATATATAAATATACAATTTATTTATATTAAATTTTAAAAACTCCAAAACGTACTCCGAAGAGAATCGACAACATTGGGGAGTACAGATGCTTACATAGGAGATGGCATATAACAATTTTGGATATGAAATTCAACAGGTCCACAATTTAGACCACCATGATGAATTGATAATATAAATAAATTTTAAAATAAAATATCATAATGTTTTTTTGTTAACTTTAATTTAGGAATTCCTTATATTTTATTCTTTAAACCAGCGTTTTAAAAAACGCCGAGTCAAACCGGACTCGCCCGGTTCGACTCGGAAATCGTGAAAAGGGGACCGGATCGCCTAAAAAATCGGAAATCGTCCGGTTCTAGAGAGAACCGGACGATTCTGTACAGTGAATCGCCGATTCGTTGTACGGAATCGGGGAGTCCGAACAGTGAATCGCCGATTCGTTGTAGGGAATCGGCGAGTCCGAACAGTGAATCGAGGAGTCCGTACGGTTTTTTTTTTTTTTTTTTG